TGTTGTACTTTTGTTAGACTGTGGTTCCAATTTAAAGAGTTCCAACAATGAGAAAAAACTGGCTTGTGTTAGATGTATTAGATGCAGGTAAGTAGATGGTTGTGCCCTCAGTACAGGTGTAAAAGGAGCTAGAAAATTGCCCTAAATGTGGACAACATTCTAGGAAGGAGGAAGAAGGAACTGAGGTTAACAACAGTCATTATTAATAGCAACAAACAGACTTCGACTTCCACTTTCAATGAAGAGGTTTACTGCAGAAACACTGAACTTCAAGCAATTGGTTCTTTAGTTCCCTGTTGCCCAGCAAAGTAAGAAACCATGCTGACCTGGGTGAGAGCAGCACACGGAGCACTGGGTCCACAGAATGGCCCTCCTTTGAATAGTGGTTCGGGTAAAGGCAAGTCCCTTTGGGGTGGAATTCAAGAAAAAAAGGAGCGAGAAATCATCCTTTCTTTTTACCTCTTTCTGTTCTCATATACTTGGTGAGAGACTTTTAAAAAATACTCAGGAGGTGAGACACTTCCATTTATTCATTCATTCCACAAAGACAGTGAGCCAGACACATCCCTGTTCACTTCATAGTAGCTCTCAGCCCTACCCTTAAGTCTTTGAATGGGTCCATGCCATGCCATAGTCATCAGAATTAAAGCACACAACTCCAGTCTCTCACAAATGACCAACGGGATGAAGATGAAAGGGTGGAGCTCGTGAATGATTGGCAAATGGATTTTCTTTGTAGCACAAACTCAAATTCAGAAATATAAAGAGATTTTCCTATTATCTAATATAGAAACAGGATGCTAATGTCAAGGGCTTTCACAATCTTCCTGGAGATTAGGAAACGGATGCACTTACTATTTTCAACCTCAGATTATGTATTTCTATTCTAGCAGAACTTGAAAGTCTCTTAAGTATTCCACTAAAGAGGAAGTAATTTATCTGAGTTCCTGTAACCATAAACCTCATCATCCAGATTGTCTATGAAGCAAATTTATCCAAAAAACAAATTGTTAAAGAGGGCACACTTGGAATTATAATCATCTCTGGACAATTTACCTCTGTCTATGTATTTTGTTTTAAACTATATTCAACAATTTAATTCACCAAATGCTTGTTAAAGTGCCTGCTGAACACCTCTGTCTGATCAAGCTGCTAATAAACACAATCTTTCCTGATAATCAGAGTTTTCAGCATCCTCAATTTGCAGACTTGAGAAAGAAGTTACTGAACAAACTGCTGACACAGAGGAAATGTATAGCCTATAATCTTAAGTGCCTAAGCCTAAATATATGAGTCTGATTTCCTGAACCCAGCATGATGGACTGCCATAGCCTACTTAAAAAGATGTTCAGATTTCAGAGAGAGGCAGACAGAGTACACGGCCTGATTTCCCAAGTGAGTAGGTGGTGTTTTGCTGCTACGTCTATGAATATGCCATGGCCACCCCCCCACCCACACACACACACTGGAAGGGGCCACCATCCAGAACTACGCTTCTCCAGGGAGGGTTAAGACAGTGTCTGATAGCTCCACTGCCCTGTAAAAATAGCCAGTGCCATTTCTAGCATCCTCCATGTGTAGCTGAAAATCTTACTTCTGCTCTTCACGAACAATAAATAAATAGTCACCAGCCCTCAGGGAGAGTCAGATTTTACAAGAAAAAAGTACAGGAAACAGACATATGTCGGCAGTCTCATTAGAAATGACAAGAATGTTTGTTCATAACTTTAGAAAAAATAGCAAGGCGAGAGCTTACATGGAGCTTCTCTACCATCTGCAATCTTTAATTCAGTATCTGCCATAAACAGGTGCTTGCTAATACATCTCAAGGCTCCCCGGGCTTTCTCTGGGTGCACACCAGCAAGATCAGCTATCCATCATGGTTCTTGTTTTGCGGGAACTGTAGACACTTCTTCGCTTCTAATCTCCAGCTTGTGTATTAATATAAATAATGAATGAATGAATGAATGAATGAAAGAATGAATGAATGAATTTTATTCAAATGGTGTTTTCATTTCATCCTTTTCACTCAAGCATTATCCTACATAAAATAATTATCATTCTCTTCTTTTTCATCAGCGAACTGGTTTGCTTTTTCAAAAAAGAAACCTTGGATGAAAGAGATTCATTCATCTTTTCATTTAACAAATATTTATTGTCTGTTATTTGCCAACCCCTATTCTAGGCACTGAAGGTACAGAATAGAACAAAAGAGACAAGGATCTTGTGTCCACATGGAACTCACACTGTATTAGGGAGGATCCCCTGCAAATTCCATCTCAGGAACAGAATCCCCACTGGTGCCCCTACCTCCATTGAATCTAAGTATCCACACGTCCTATTGTTATATTTCACTTGCTTCTGCTGGCTTTTAGCCAGCTCCTCATATTTAAGTCCACTGACAATCTTCATCAAAGAATCAGGCCCACTTGACTTCCCAGAGCAATTTTCACTTGGGCTAGATATATGCTACGATTCTTCGGGAAATTTTAAATTATTTGTTGACTCCATTTCTAATGGCCCAACCATAACTGCTATGTCTCTTTCCTCACCATCATTTGCAATAACTGTTGAAAACTGGGACCTGAATTATGAGAATCAGGATAGTCATCATCTACCATGTAGCATAAAGTAATAGCAAACTAGAACTTGGCAAGATCTGTCTGGTTTCTCTGAAGTTATCACCAATTTACCCATCTTCCACGATGGCCTCCCCTCTAGTTTCAGAGCCCAGGGTTAAAATCTAGTCTGTTCCCTGGACCTCATACTCATACTTCTCACTTGAGCTTTGGGTCCTACCACACATATAGTCATATTTCCCAGACAACTACATGCCACTTAATTTGAGAGTCATGGCAGCATAGATTCATGCTTAAGACCATGGGCTTTTGAGTTATGATTATAATCATGAATCAAACACTGTCTGTAAGGTTTTCAGCCAGTAATTTAATCTCTATGCCTCCATTTCTTTGTTAGTAAAATGAGGATGATAGTAATAGAAACCAACCTGCAGAGTTGTGAGGTTTCAATAATTTAATACATACAGAACATCAAGAATATTACTTGCTACATAGTAAAAATTCCAATATTTCCAAACTCATGAATATTTAACTCCTACTCCACCACCAAAAATCAACTTGAAGAATGGGATGGGTTTAAACCAGAATTTTGCATCCTTTATCCACTTTCCTTGGCTTTTCCAACTGCCTCTCTTGAGGGTCAATATCTTTACCTAGGCTAGTGTGCCTTAAGCCCTAGCTTTTCTCACAGGCAAGTGTAGGGCTTTTTTTGGATGGCTGCAATTTCTCTACCAGTTTTGTTACATGGGAAAAGCAGTCCAACAGAGTTATAATACCTTACGACTCCTACAACAGCAGAAGCAGTATCATACAATTCTTTTCAACATTAAGAATAGTCTTAAATATTTGCATCTTATTTATGTCATTGTAGAGTGGAGACAGGTTTAATGAAGGGAATAAAATCTTCTTTTAAGAATTCTTTGAGCTGAGAGAGAGGTTATTGGTATTAACCAAGTTGCAGAATTAACTGATTATAGACTCAAAGAATAAAAGTCCATGAATAGCTAAGCCAATCATCAATATTTAAAAAGAGTAATGAGAGAGATTTACCCTATATGACTCTAAAGAATTCTGTTAAACCACAGAAATAAAAACAGGCTGATATTGCTACAGTATGACCGACAATGGAACTCAGTAGACAGCTTAAACCAAGACCTATGCATATATGGGGATTTACTATGATGTAAAATTTGCACAACAAAGCAATAAACAAAATAGTAGATTATTTAGTAGGTGATTTGGGGGAGCTATCTCATCATAGGTAAGAAAATGCAAGTACATTCCATATGAATTAAAGATCTAGATGTGAAAAATTATAAAGTTAATAGAAGGAAATGTAAGAAAATATCTATGTGACCTTAGGATGAAAGAGTACTTCATCATGAGGAAAAATGATCAGTTTGATTATATCATAAGATTTCTGTTGGGTGAAGGACATCATTAAAGAAACTGAAAAAAGGAAAGGAAATATTGACAATGACTAAAACAAACAACAAATAATATTTAGAATATAGAAGGATCTTCTGAAAATCAACCAAAAAAAAGACAATTCTAAGATTTTTACAGGGAAGGTGTAAGACTATATGATTTACACAAGAGATTAATTTTTTTTTAACGTTTGAGAGAGAGAGAGAGAGAGAGACAGAGTGCAGGGAGTGGGGGGAAGGGGCCGGGAGGGGCAGAGACAGAATCTGAAGCAGACCCCAGGGTCTAAGCTGTCAACATGGAGCCCAACACGGGGCCCCAACTCATGAATTTGGAGATCATGACCTGAGCCCAAGTTGGATACTTAACTGACTGAGCCATCCAGGTGCCCCAAGAAATTTAAAATTTAACAAGCATACAAGAGATACTCAAACTCAGTGGTAATCAAAAAAATGTAAATTAAAACAATAAGGCAATATATCTTTACCCTACTACCCTAGCAAAAATTAGAGAACGGTATAAAATATTGTCAAGAATGGGGAGGAAGGAGAATGTGGGAACACACAAAACATCTTTCCCTACAACAGGGAGTGTGTGAAAGGTGCAACCATTCCAGAGAGCCATTTACTTGGAAAATTAAGTGTATGCTTAAGCAATTTCTTTTCCCAGAGAAATCCATAAGGAACATGTTCAAGGTTGTTCCTGGCAACAGTGTTTGGGGAGGGTATTGAATGACATCTGGTATCCATCAATGGAAAAGCAGGTAGATAAAAAATAGTGGGTAGGTGCCACAGAGCTACATTGTCCAAAACAGGAGCCACTAGCTGCATCTGGCTATTTAAATTTAATTTTAAATCAAGTAAAATGAAATAAAATTAAAATTTCAGTTTCTCAGTCACACTAGCCATATTACTTGTTATAACAGTGGCTATAAGTACTCAATAGCCACATACAGCCCGTGGCTGCTACTTTGGACAGATATAAAGTATTTTCATCATGGAGTAGTGAGAAGAAATGTATTAAATGTTCATATAGCAACACAGATGGTCCTTAAAAACATAGTGCTTAGTGAAAATAATTTTCAACAAAATTAGGTATATTACCTAACAGCATTACATAAATTAAAAATGTACACAGAAAATAATAATACACAATAACCAAGTTAAATCATTTAAATAAAAGATATGCATTAGCCTAAATTAATGGTTTCATGGAGTTGGAGTCAAGTATAGGGACAAAAGGAAAGAAAATAAATCCATCCATAGATTTTCAAGCTGAGAGAAGTTTCAGACTAGGTAGCCCATGCTTTCATTGTGTTTGTCCTGTGGGAAATCACAATACGAATAAAATGATTCCTAAAACCAAGGAGCACATAGTTCATTTGGGACATCAGTCAAATACCCAAAAAGAAGTAATATAAAAGTCAAAAGATTTTGATAAGCACCCAACAAAAAGAGGTTATAAAAGTCTAAGGTGAGAGAGACCAGGAATGATCTGGGGAAGAAAGGACACTATAGACCAGCCCTGAAGATGGTGAGAGTAAACGAATTAGAATAAGAGCATTCTAGGCAGACAAGACAGCTTGCACAACAGAATGGTAGGAAGAAGACACAGATAGTTGTCTCTTTCAACTAAAGTACAAAAAGTGGTAGAGAATCAGAGATGAGGTCAGTGAAGGAGACTAGGCCAAGCAGAGCTGGCGGGGCTTAGAGATATGGGTGACCATATTGCCTAATTCACCTGGGAATGTCCTGGTTCATATTTGCTGTCCCAGAACAATTATTAATGCACCCTTTTCACTCTCAAAGTGTCCCAGTTTGGGCCAGAAAATATATGACTTCCCTACGTATGGAGAGAAACAGGCTGATAATATAGTTTAGCAGAGGACTTCCTGGTTCCATATTGATTTGATATGTTACATATTTGAACAAGCATTTCTCTGATGCCATAATTATAAGTATTAGAACAAAATGAAAGTGTGCATTTTTTGAGAAATAATTTTTCTGTAATCTTTAGAAATGATAAGCTGGTCCATGGGAAAGATAATTTAAATGAAAAATTGTAAATGTGCTTCAAGACAAGTGCCTGCTTCTGAAACACCTCATCAACATCTCTATTACAGAGAATTAGGCTCTAATAAAGCTGACTGGAATTCTCATCTAATACGATGAGGTGGGGAGAAGCTAACACTAAAGTGACTCTAGCTACAGCAAACCTAAAGGCAGGTGATATCAAATTAAAACTGCCACATGTAACCTGTTACATATTTGTAAGAACATGGGAGAAAAATTCAGTTAGGAAAACCCAATTACAATCAGAATGTGTTTAACATTTTGATTACTAAAAATAAGTTGCTAAAAGCACAATTACCTCAATTTTGGTTAAGAGGTCTTGCAGTTCTCCTGATTCATTCATTGACAAAATTTTCTCAGCACCCTATTAACAAGAAAGGGTGGGGGGGGGAAGAAAATCCATTTTGTTAGTACTGGAGAAAACAAAGTTCTAGCCAGGAGAGCTTAACCCACAAGATATTGAACACCATTCTTCCCTTGTAAGTAAACTTACAACCAAGAGGCCAAAGAAAGGAGGAAATTTCTTTTTCCTCCACATATTCTCTCATTTAGTGAGCTTTAGCGGGAGCAAGAGGAAGTCTGCCAGTAGTTGAGAGCTGGGAAGCCCACAAATGTCAGATTATGTCCAGATATGGAAGGTTCCAGCACACCCTTCAGAATTGTTCAGAGAGCCTTTAGGCAGCTCTGCCATCTGGGAAAGGAAATCATTGAGCAAATTCCCAGCCTCAGCTGTCTCACCCTATTCCCAGCAGTGTTGACATGACCCTTCTTACAGTCACACATGTAGACATAGTGGCAGCCAATAATACTAATACAGTTAATAACCACTGACACTAATTAATCACACATTATGAGCTGGGCACCCAACATCATCTAATTTGAAGTGGTAGACTCTATTAATGGCACAAAGTGAGCCTCGGTGAGGTTAAATAACAATTCCAAGGCCATCTCGAAAGGAAGCAGAATGGGAATTTTAACACAAGCAGGGATCTCACTTCAGAGTCATTGTTTATAACTTCTAAAACTTTACTATGAAAACGAGAATGAGGCAATGTATTCACATTCCAACCAGCTCACAGTGTTTCTCCTAACTACCCCATTTTCCTTCCCTTTCCAGCCTCTTTCTTACATTCTCCTGCTCAATTTCCCAAAGTGGAGTCATAGAGAAGGAAGGACATTATTTCTGATCAAAGGCAGAGACCGTGTGTGCCTTGTTCACAACATCTCCCTGGCACGGAATAACAGTTGTTGGCACAGAATAGATGTTGAATCAATTTTTGATTAATCAACAAGACAGGGAGAAATAGTAAATACTTCTTGGGTTCCTATTTGTGCTGGGCAGAATGGAAAACAAAAACTCACTTAAGATATTTAAAAGGTCCTAGTTCATAAGGAGGTCACTATAGACTCTTATGTAAACATGCAACAAAGCAAACCACAATGCAGAATGGAAAAGAGGTGTTGGAACCAGGCTCTGGGGCCACAGCAGTCTCCGGCTGGAGAGGGGCTCAGCCATCTGTTCCAGGAAAGATTCCTAGTCTTGGACCTAAAGCTACTTTCTTGAACAGCAAAGTCATTAAGCCTGACCTTACATCATTGAGTGGGAAGAACAGCAGCCCAGCTAATCTGTTCCAGGATGTAATAGACTGCAGCCTGTGGAGTATTCTTGGCAACAGACTGTAGAGCTAAGGGGCAAAGGGATAAACAGGTTTATACAGGCTATCATTAACATGCCAATCCGGTGAAAATTAAAGTTGGTCAGTTTCCAAGGTCTGTGGGGGGGACAGCCATTGCTCACTGGGTCCTGAGTGCTAGCGAGCCAGGCTTTACTACAGGACATATTGCCTCATCCACCGCCTTTGTCCATGGCTCAGTGGAGTGTGACATCCCTGGCAGACTTCCAAATAGAGGCTAGCTGTTCCATATATCTGGACTCCTTGAGAGACCCAGGGTGGGCATAGCTTCTGTGTCTCTTGCATCAGTCTGTCCTGGAAGGATCTAAATGATAGTTTCCTCTGTTCCTTTTGTCATTATTGCTCTCCAGAAAGGAAATTCACAAGCAATCCCCAGCTGGGCAATTTGAAATTGCTAAGCTACTACAGATAAGAAGCAAGAGGAAGAAGAAGGAAGAGAAGCTTGTATGTGAAAAGCATAATTAAGTGTTGGCCTTCTTCTGTCAGAGGACCTGAAAGTTTTATATCCACAGTGTAGTTTCTCCACCGATCACATCTGACCCAGAGAGAAGGCTGTTCCCCATCTCAGGAAGAGACTGGAGAATTGCACTGAACCATGGAGGAAGACAGCAGAACAAGATGAAAAGGGGATAACTATGCAATCCAGAAAATCATTGGAACTGAAGAAGAAATAAAGTCTGAATTCAAGCAATTTATGTTCTTTCTCAAAAATGAGCAAGAGACTGTTCTTTGGCAATTACAAGATGAAGAGATGGATATTTTAATGAAACTAAATGAAAACCTGACATTTTCAAAGCATCTTTCCACATTAAAACATCTATTAAAGGAGATAGAGGGCAGATATATGAGGTGAGAACTGGAATTACTGACAGATGTTAAAACTATGTATCATAGATATAAAACCTTAAGGTCCCCTGAAACTTTGGCATGACAGTTAAAGGAATATGGCAAGAAGGAGAAAAAGGAGAAGAAGAAGGAGGAGGAGAGGAGGAAGAAGGGAGGGGGAGGAGGAAGAAGAGGAAGGAGGGGGAGGGGAGGGGAGAAGGAGAGGTTTCCTGGCTGCAGAGAAGGGCAGCCAGGAAATTATAACATGGGGGAAATGGATCTGCTTATTGAGGGTAGAGAAGGCTTTCCAAGCTTGACAGCATTTGATCTGGACCTTGAAGCTTAGGGGAGGTTTCTAAGATGAGGTAGGCAATTTTCATAGTGATGAATAGGAGCCTTTAGTTCTGGGTTTTATTTTACTTCAGTTTATCTTATAAAACTCATGTCATCTTAATCACCATCAGAAATGTCAACTTGATATATTAAAAAGCACTATGAATGAATACACAGGGCTAGAGAGGATATATGTAACTGTACAAGGCAGGTTTTATTCTTTAATTTGTGGGTGGTTTGGCCAGGGGTACAGAAGACATATACCTAAAGTGAGAACCAAGGTGATGAAAGCACCAAACAAAACATTAAGTTCTAAAACATAGCAATAACTGGTAATATTTTACCTTTGCTGCATTCTATTTCCTTTAAGAGTTAGCTTCGCTAAAATGGGAAAAGCCCTTGGGGACTCTGGTCCACGAACTAAAGCAGCAAGGAGAATATATGACTCATTTTTCTACAATAAAAGAAAATGTACCACAATGACCCCAGGCAAAATGAAGGCACCAGAGAAGCTATCCGGCATCTGCTTCCCAGCTCTTTTCTTATCTTAGCCGTCAGGGTTCCTTAGTCAGCTGTTTAGAATCCAATGCATAGGCCAGGAAAGGCCTTTCTCATTACCATCAACACATGAAATTTGCCCTGCCTCGGCCAAATAATTCCAGCACCGTCAATATGACAAGAGTTGATTCGACATTTCAATAGAAACACAGGGTTTGCTCACATTAAGCAATATACCTAAATGCATGATAGTCAGTGCTCTGTTCAAGACACACCTGGGTCTGGTGCACAGGTGGTGTAGTAAGTGCTAAAAGCGGGGAAAATTCTGCTCTGTAACAGAGACCTGAGAGCGGAGTACTTGGTCCCCTCTCCACTGCTGCTACTCAATACAGTACCCACCCACAGCTCCACCTGGTTGGCCCTCAGATCATTTCCTTGGAATGAGCCCTTTGCTCTTTTGCCAAGTACTGAGCAGAAACCGTAGTCAAAATCCTCTGCTTCCTCACCTGGTTCCAAGTCCCCAACCTCCACCTGACCCTGTCCTTGATGAATCAAAGTGCACGATTTTCCAGGGCAGGGCAAGGAAATTGCTGCCCTCTCTGCTCCTTAGCAGCAGCAGCAGTAGGATGGACTTCAGCCTGGCTGGCAATTGTCGGGAAAAATTAGATTCCTCCCATCCTGAGGCTTGGATAGCTCTCAACCTGTACTGCACTGCACTGCATTTAGCTATTGCAAAGGTCTCATTCCCTGCAGCTTTCCATCAAAGACATTCTACTTATTACTTGGTCTGTAAAGACACGTGTGCATCTAAAAAAGAGAGCTTATTTGTTTAAGTATTGACATTCTTAGGGAATAATCTTTTTCTGTTTGGTGTTTGGCTAAGGGTATCACATGTGAGTTTGTTAACTTTTACAATGTAAGTCTACCATTCAGTTCAATTCCACGCAAGTAGAAATTAATTACTCTTTCTATTATTTGGCATGGTTTGCCAAGACTTCCTAGATACTATGGATATATTTCTGATGCATTTTTCAATCGATTCAGAAACTTTTTTTATGAAAATTAATACAATCCTGAAATTAAAGACATTAGTAATGTGCTAGGTGCTTTACAGACATTGGCTCTTTTAATCATCAGTGCAAGGTAAGCACTATTGTCTCAGTTTTTTTAAATAAAGCAATTGAAGTTTGAAGAAAATAAGGAACATGCCCAGAAACTTTTAATCAATACAAAGCCTGGCCAGATCTTGAAGTTGGGTCATGCTGTCTATAAAACATACATTCTTTCCATTGTGCCATGCTTGCTGACTGCTCACTGATATAATTTATTAGTGAAAAAAAATGGTACAAATAACTCCCAGTCTGAGGAACAGGACAGTCTATGGTTGGGAGTCACTGTTGAAGTGGATCCCAAGGAAGTCCAGTGAAGGAAAGCCTTCACTGCAATGACTCCAAACAGGATGAATGTGTCAGAGAAGCTAAGGGACACTGCAGCTATTTTCTTATGTCAGTGTCATGCCTTATTCGGTTATTTCAAATACATTGCGTATTCCAGAAAAGGACTTAATTCATTATAAACTTCAATACATGAAATTAACTCTATTCTCAAATTCTTTCCCTCTTAAAATTCTGAGCAGTGAGCTGTGACATGTGAACAAGTCACTTTATTTTATACATAACGAACTTCCCAGACAGAGATCAGACAGTCTTCATAATCTCTCCTCATATGAATCACCAAAAAAGAGACTCACACCTCCAAGGAACAAGAACAGATTAAGAAAAGACATCATCCCCTGCTGATTATGGCTACCAGACACTTACCCACCATTTCTGATCCATGAATATATAAAAGGGCCACCATACTCACTCATACTCATGTCCATTCATTTATTTCCACATTCAACACGATTTTGAGCCTCCATTATGGGTTAGATGCTGTGCTAAGTGTTTAAGATATAAACAATAAGCAAAAGAAAAAGGCTCCCTATTCCTGAGAGAACGTAAAATCTTTTGGAGGAGACAGATGTTAAACAAAAGATCATACAAATAAACGTAAACTTATATAAGTGATAAATACTACGAGAGTTGTTAGTCCAAGATGTTGCGAAAGTGTATATAAAAAGGCGTGATTAACCTAATCAATTAGATTAGGGAGAACTCCATAAGGTAATGATTAAATTGTTATCTTTACAAATGATAGTAGGTAACTGAGCACCTAGATAGATGAAGGAAGGAAATTAATTAGAGCAATAAGGTTACCAAATATCATATGTACATGATCCTTTGTGGCCACCATTTTCTCTCATTCAAAATAAGAAAACCTATGTCCAATGAACCTGCCTATCAGATTCTGCATAGTACTTTGGATTAGTGTCCTGGAAAACATAGCTAAATACCAGGCCAGGTTCAGCGATCTATTTTACCAATAAGATGAGGAAAACTTTAGATTAGTATAAGCCAGCTTGAATTGACCATACTCTTCTAGATCTCTGTGAAGAGTTGCTAGGTCAAGGGTTTCCAAACATCATTATCAAAAACCAGAAGAAAAAAATACAAACATTTAAGTATTTTTTCTCAAGAATTACTTAAAATCACACACACAGGCTTTAGCTGCCTCCAGGCTGATGTATCTCCACACTGATATCCAGTCTCTGAGATTTCACATAAAACACCAATTTTGGAAACTATTGACCTGAAATTTCTGAGAGGTCCAGAAGAACTAAAAACCGAAACCAAACAGAAATTTTAATGTATATATGCATATGTGCATATTGTGTGCATACACCTATGTTATATATTATTTTTTATCTTTATTTACATTAATTCATATACCACTTCATCTTAAAGAAAGTTGCCTGGAATAAAAGAATCCATATAATGATCTAATAAAATAAAATTTGAATTTTTTTTGTGTGTCTCCCTCTCTCTCTGCCCCTCCCCACTTGCATTCTGTCTTTCTCTGAAAAAAAAAATCAATAAACATTAAAAGAAAAAACAAAAAGGAAAGATAAGCAAAGGCATAAATGAAAATGCACCTTGGTGGAGGTAAATCTGCAAGCTGATTTGATTTGATGATGGAATGCCAAACACTTCCAGGAGTGAGGGGTACGGAGACTGCATGATGGCTTCCCCCTACCCATCACTTCCTTTACCTGGGCACAGGACGGGAAGTGGAGAGCAAACCATTGGAGGCTGTGCTTTCATGATGGCTCGGAGGCTGGGTTGTCTGGTGCCAGCTACTAAAGGATTTTTCTGCTGTGTAATCAGGAGAGCAGATGGCAGGGCTGGTGTTCAAGGACCTCAACCAGCACCTAGCATGACACCTGCCAAAGGACGTGCTCAGTAAATGTTTGTTTTTGTGGCTTCCTGGGCCACCAGAAAGGGAGGTTACATCAACCCTGGAGACAGGCCACCTAAGCCCTGCTGACAAAGGCAGACTTTGCTTCAGGAATCGGCTTGGGATCATCTCCAGTACATGAACCAACTCCATGGAGACCCTGGAGTCCTACACCAAACAGGCCTGGAAGATGTTCAAAACAGATGTAGAGATATCCCTCTAGTGTCTTAAAAAACCACAATAAATCTCCTCAGAAAATCTCACTCTAAAGAGCATGGTTTTCCTGTGTCCCTGGCAGGAAGAATTAACTGCAAAATTAACTCTAAACTAGTTGACTTGTTTTGTGTTAATTATATAATGCAGACTTTTGGGTGTTGAAAAACGCCTACCAAGGGCAGTGATTTCGGTTTTCTGTAATTAATGTTGAGCCACTTTTTTCAGCATAGTTACAAAGAACACTTTTCTCATGGAGGCCAATCTTGATCATTTTATTTTTTATTTTTTTATTTTTTTTTACAAATAGTTTATTGTCAAATTAGTTTCCACATAACACTCAGTGCTCATCCCCACAAGTGTCCTCCTCCATGCCCATCCCACCCCCCCATCTGATCATTTTATAATAAAAGCCATATCATCAAAGTAGATGATCATAGAATATATTATTCTCTTTTCTACGGCAGAA